TTATTAAAAAAGGGTGTTACTTGGGACTGGGACAGAAGTTGCAAGGATTCTTTTAAAAAAATTAAAAAAATCTTAACCAGTGCTGAAGTATTATTGCATTACGATCAAAACAAACCGTTAATACTGACGTGTGACGCTAGCGCTCGAGGTATAGGAGGCGTGCTAACTCAGCCGTGCGCCGGCGCAGCGGGAAGCGAGCGGCCGGTGGTCTATGTGTCGAGAGCTCTCAGCGACGCGGAGAAACATTATTCACAAATTGATCGCGAGGCTTTAGCAATTGTTTTTTGCTTAAAAAAATTGCATCAATACCTGTATGGTCGACGGTTCACCTTACGTACTGATCACAAGCCGCTTGTCAGTATTTTTGGCCCAAAACATGGCATTCCTTTAATGGCTGCGAGCCGATTGCAGCGTTGGGCGATTACGGTATCCGCTTACTCTTATAACATAGAGTACGTTAGTAGTAAACAGAACTGTGCGGACGGCTTATCTCGTCTACCGGTATCGGTTCAATCCACAAAGAACGAATGTTTAGAATTACCTGAACAAACGTATTTACATTTCGCTCAAAGTGAAATGTTACTGGATTATAATGAAATTAAAAAACAAACCCAGCGCGATCCGATTTTAGGTAGAATTATACTATACTTAAGAGAAGATTGGCCCACCGATAATGAGGTCAAATCATTGCAACCGTATTTTAACCGAAAAAAGGAACTATACGAAGAACTAGGGTGCATCATGTGGGGTCATAGAGTAGTCATACCGGAGAATTGCAGGGGTAGGGTGTTTAACGAACTCCACGAATGCCACATGGGAATCGTCAAAACGAAGGCGGTAGCTCGAAGCTATGTGTGGTGGCCGGGGATCGATGAGGCAATCGAAACGATGTGCCGAGCGTGCGTCGTGTGTGCGGCCGAGGCGGACGCGCCCCAACGGCACACTCCAAGCCCGTGGCCATGGCCAGCTAAGCCTTGGTCTCGTATACATATAGATTTTTTAGGGCCAATTTTCAATAAAATTTACTTGGTAATAATTGATGCCAGAACTAAATGGCTAGAGGTGTTTTATGTACCGAGTACAGCAGCTAGCTACACTATAGTTAAACTTTCCGAAGTTTTTGCTAGGTGGGGTCTACCTAAACAATTAGTATCAGACAATGGGCCGCCATTTACCAGTAGGGAATTTTCTCAGTTTTTAACAAATAATGGTATACAACATGTTTTCACCGCACCGTACCACCCGGCTTCAAACGGTGCCGCGGAAAACGCAGTACGCACTGTCAAGAAAGTTATTAAAAAGGCAGTGAGGGAAAATAAAGATATAAATTTATTTTTAAACACTTTCCTATTGCATTATCGAAATACCGAACATTGTACTACGGGCGAAAGTCCCGCTTCTCTCATGTTAGGAAGAAGATTACGTACTAAACTAGACATACTTAGACCGGATATTGAGAATAAAATTATTAAAACTCAAATAAACCAGAAAGAGAACGCTCCCACTGGTGAACGTGGCCTGCAGCCGGGTGATGATGTATGGCTTCGCCAATATCAGGGGAGCGACAAGTGGGTAGCCGGACAAGTGACGCAACGTTTGGGCGTAACGGACTACAAAGTTTTAGACACCATAGGTAAGGAGTCACATAAGCATATCGACCAGCTAAAACGTAGAATTAGTAGTTCACTGATTTATCCCCGTAGTAGTAATAGTCAGCCAAATTCGAGTTCCGAGTCTTTGTCTTGCTCCGGTGCAGAGGAAATTAATGCGCCTAGAATAAACCCTGCCATAACAGACACCGGGAGGAAATCACAAGCACCGGAGGGAACTGAAATAATAGATAAGAGTGATTGCTTAGATACGGCAAGGGAAACGTCAACACTTCGTACTCCATCACCTCATACGTCGCCTGTGCCGTCCGCAACGCCGCCCCAGGTCTTCCGGCCGGTACGCAAGTGCCGTTTGGATAACCCCCCCCCCGCTATAAAGAGTAGTTACCATCACACTATATTATTTTTATATACTTCTTTTTTTTTTAAATATTTTTTTTCCTTTCCTGTATAACAGTATAGTATAAAATACTTATATGTATAACTAATTGTAAGTCGTAATTAAGGGGGGAGGATTGTAATGAGGGTACATTAAATACATAAGTGATTAATTGTAAAAGGCTCGTCGAACAGTCACGAATAAACCGTCAATCCGCTTACCCGTTGTCTTATTTACGAAATACACTACATTTCTAACAATTGCAAAAAATCGTAACATATATAATTTTTTTAGAAAATCTAAAGGGAAGCATAGGAATGGCATGTCAAAGGTTTCCTGGGACATGGCGGCCAACAAATTGTTCCCTATGTTTTGAGGATATCTGAGATTATCAGTCATTTTTATTTATAATCAAATAATCCTTAAATACAACAATGAAGACCGCCGGGCATTATTATTTTTGTATAAATTGCAGTCAGTTTGTGCTTGCGTGTGGTGCGTGAGATTAGAGAGATGAGACGCAAAATTATATTCGTATTATCATTTTAATAGACTAGTTATAGAACGTATACCCAAAACTGCATTATATCATAATGGCTGCTATGTGATGAGTGTAAAAACTTCTGGTAAGCATTAAAGAAGAGACAGAAACTGGTAAATTTAAAACCAAACTAAAAAGCTGGTTACTATTAAAGTGCGTTTATGACGTAAAACAATTTTTAAATGAATAGAATCTTGTTGCCTAAATTTGACATTATTGTATTCTTTTAGATTATTTTTTGTGTATTCTGTAGATTTTTTTTTCACTTTATTCTAATTTTCACTTTTAATAATGATTGACAAGATGATTGTAATTTTAATTTTATTTGATTCAAATGAATAATGCATATTTAAATTCTTTGCCTGAAATATTGATTGTAGTTTTAACATTTTTAATTTATATTTATTTGTTTTAAATTAATCAACTTTCGCATGCCAGATGTGGTAAACATGTGGACCATATACAATATCCAATATTTGTCACCTCTGATGTACCATGTTTAAGCGAATAAATGATATTATTATTATTATGGGGGGTATAAATATAGTTTTCTCATCTGGTTGGGTTCTATAAATATATAATTATAAATGAAAATGAAAAGATAAATATACATAAATATCAATAACTTAAAATAAATATGAAAATACATATATAAATAAAAGCCCAACCAGATGGAGGCCCTCGGCAGGGGAGACCAAACGGCCGAGGGTTAGGGGGAAAGGGAAAGAAACCGGCGGACGATGCGAGCGGTATCGAGGAGCACCGCCTTCTGCATTTGAGCCTGGAGCGGTCCACCACGTAGTCTCAGCCGCCTCAGATGACCCGAGAGGCTGACTGGGATTAGCCCGTTTGCAGAGACGACTACAGGAATAATTTCAGTCGGCAGACCACTCCACATGTCGGTCACTTCGTGAGCCAGGTCCAGAAACTTTGTTTGCTTATCTGCTTCAGCTTTCACGAGGTTCTCGTCATACGGAATGGTAATGTCTCGGAATATATGAATATATACGGAAAGGTATCCAGGGCGTTAAGTTCAGTCTGAGTCCACCTGAGTATGCCAAAGGTATACATGATAACAGGCATGACTCAACCGTTTTATGCGTGTGTCTTATTCACACCGGACAAAAGGCTGTTAAGCACTTTGGTCAAGCGTGCATAAAACACGTCGCAAACTGACTGTTTCATACCAGCCTCATCGATACCGATGTTCTGTGGCATACCCAGGTATCGGTATGTTTCAGCCTCGGAAAGGGTCCTTAAGTTGACGGGCATAGATAAGGCTATGCTCTCCGAGTTAACAACCCTTCCCCTTTCAACATGGAGGACCGCACACTTATCCGTCCCCATTTCCATTCCAATAGAATTGCTAAATTCACAAGTGATGTTTAGCAATTCTATAAGATGGGAGCGACTGGAGGCGAATAACTTGAGGTCATCCATATAGAAAAGGTGGGTCACTTATGTACCTCCTTTCCGAAGCTGAAATCCCCTCCCGGAGCCCTCCAGTAAAGTACTGAGAGGGTTCAGAGAGAGGCAAAATCAGATTGGACTCAGACAATCGCCCTGGAAGATACCCCTTCTTATCCTTATGTGGTTCTCCGCAGCCATCATCCGCTCGCCCAGATAGCAAAGGATCGTACTCCACTGCCCCATACACTGCTCGAGGAAGTCTCCAACTGTACAGTCAATCTTGTACAGCTGGAGGACTCTCTTTTTTGATTCTCATTTTAACTCACTCATTTTGAGCGCGTGCCATCACCTGATTTAGATCCAGGTGACGAGTGATTCTCGCGCTCAAAATGGATGTCAGTGTCTTATATATGGTGGGTAGACACGTGATGGGGCGGTATTTGCTCGGGTCTGTGGTTTCCTGATCTTTAGGAACCAAGTGAGTGATCCCAGTAGTGAAGAGGCTCGGGAGCGACTTCTGATCGAGAGCCTCTTGAAACTGTCGGGTGAGCACACTACGAACCCCTTCAGCCAGTAATGATGCAGCCTGTCGAGCCCCGGACTTTTTCAGTTCGGGGCCGTACGGAACGCCTCAGCCACGTCTTCAGGCGTTATGGTGACGGGGTCCATAGGCGTAACACTTGCACTCTGGCTCGCCACAACTTCCATCCAAGGGCCCTCGCTGTGGTTTACGGGCTCTGACCACAGGCCACGCCAAAATGCGACAGTGTCAACCTGATCCGGTCCTGGGCCCGCTCCACATAACTCTGGTCGCGCTTCAATGATTTATAGAACCTCTTTTGATCACTCTGGAAGAGACGATTCCGGTTGAACTGCCTTGACCTCTCGCTAAATCGTCGAATCCATTTCCCCCAAGCAGCTATTTTTTTCTTCAGGTCATCTATGCGCTCCGTTAGTTTCTGCGTGATATCCGGCTGGGACAAACTAATATTTGTCCCGGTAAACGCCATTCTAACGGTGCGCACAACTCTCGGTCTATTATTAGCCGACCTGAAGCTTGTCAGTTTGCGATACGGTCCTCGATTCTTTTTATCCAGGCTGGGATGGCGCTACTTTGTTGAGTAGCACGTCCAGCCATGGGAAGTTTGGCGCCAATAATACGGCATACTGCCAGTGCGGCGCCAAAAAGAATTGAGCCCGTCTCGCAAAGGTCCCGGCTGGCTTCGAAATAGGTCACCAGCATTGGGTTAGGAGCCCGCACGACAGCCGGATTTCGCTTGCTAAGGGGAATGCGGGGAAGTCGCGGTCGATTTTCGAGAGGCATGCTGCGCGTTTCCAGCATCGACTCTTCCAATATGCTCCTCATTTTCTCTAGTTCGTGGGAGACTATTCCATCATCGTCAGTCTTTAACCACAAATGGAATATTGACGGCAGCATCCACATATGCAGTTTGCTGCGCATCTAGTGGCTCCGTATTCCCAGCCGTAACATTTCCATTCGATGAGGGAACAGCTACACGTCGTAGTCGTTCGAGTTCGGCGTCACCAAATATGTTGGAGCGCAGGATGTACCGAATTCGGTCCGCCAGGTCTTGCACAGTGACGGATAGAGATGGCTCCAGCTCTGCAAAAAAGCGATGCATCCTAGCCCGATACGCCAAACCTCCAACTTCTCCCCTTTTCGCCCTAAAATACGCCCGTAATGCGTTAGTATTCATTTCGATTGTCCATCGCATGCGGCGTACTCCACCAGTGGCGGGTGCCGATTGCTGGGCCCACGAAGACCCTGCCGACACCAAGCCAGCTGGTGGGGATGATGGATGCGAGGGGCTGATGGGTGGTCGTGCAGCACCTCTCGCTCGGCTGGCGGTTCGCATGCTGTCGCGTCCAGCGCCAGCACCAGACGCGCCTTGGCGACCTCCAGGCAGCGGCCCTTTGCGCGTTCTTCCGTATTCCATCATCCATAGTGGTGGGCGTCATTTAACGGGAGACGCCCAGACCCGGCGCCGTTTCATGGTGGGGCCATGTGCACAAGCGGGCCTTTGCACCTTTTGCCGAGGCACGGCACTAACACCTTTTGGCAAGGAGCTGACTGACCGCGCTTATGTAGTGGTTTTGTCACATAATCGTTACGTCAGCGGGAGATGGGGTCGTCACTTCCCTATACCGGGTTTATTATTATTATGTGGGGTATCTATATAGTTTTCTCATCTGGTTGGGATGTATAAATATATATTTATAATCGAAAATGAAAAGATAAATATACATAAATATCAATAACATAAAGTAAATAAAAAATACATAAATAAATAAAAGCCCAACCAGATGGAAGCCCTCGGCAGGGGAGACCAAACGGCCGAGGGTTAGGGGGAAAGGGAAAGAAACCGGCGGACGATGCGGGCGGTATCGAGGAGCACCGCCTTCTGCATTTGAGCCTGGAGCGGTCCGCCACGTAGTCCCAGCCGCCTCAGATGACCCGAGAGGCTGACTGGGATTAGCCCGTTTGCAGAGACGACTACAGGAATAATTTCAGTCGGCAGACCACCCCACATGTCGGTCACCTCGTGAGCCAGGTCCAGATATTTTGTTTGCTTATCTGTTTCGGCTTTCACGAGGTTCTCGTCACACGGAATGGTAATGTCGACCAAAAATATCCTTGACTGTGCCCGCTCCATCAGCACAATATCAGGCTTATTCGCAAGAATAGTCCTGTCTGTGATGATGGCCCGGTCCCAATAGAGCCTGGCGCGATCATTTTCGAGCACGGCTTGCGGCAAGTACTTGTAATACGGCAACTTCCGATCCACGAAACCGTATTTCAGAGCGAGCTCCTGGTGTAGAATTCTGGCTACTGGGTTGTGCCTGTGCAAGTACTCAGAGTTAGAAAGCGCCGAACAACCGGAGATGACATGCCTAAGTGACTCACCGGGATGGCGACAAGCTCGACAGATGTCGATGGTGCCATCCTTTAGGATGTCTCCGATAGTTGTTGGTCTTAATAACATGATCCTGTATTGCACAGACAAAACCCTCGTTTTCCCCGAAGAGATCACCAAAGCGTAGCCAGTGGAGGGAGGCTACTGTGTCTACGAAAGGCTCATGTAGAGCCTTGTAGAACCTCCCGTGGAGCTCCTTCTCCTTCCATACGGTCTCCCGGTCGGAAATGCTCTGCACTACTGGGTCTTGCCATTGCTCGCTGGCTAAGGATGGAGGGGGTAAGTCCTTTATCACAAGAAATGACGTCCTTATAGAATGGATCATCCGATCTCGCCAGGAAGTAATCACGGAGGCTGCACACTTCGCGATTATGCATGGTGAGCGCGCTCAAGAAGCCACGACCACCATGCTTCCGCGGCGAGTACAGCCTCATTACCGACGACCTCGGATGATGCATCCTATGGGACGTCATGGTAGTGCGGACTTTTCTATCCAGGGCGTTAAGTTCAGTCTGAGTCCACCTGAGTATGCCAAAGGTATACATGAGGACAGGCATGACCCAGCCGTTATATGTGTGTGCCTTATTCACACCGGACAAAAGGCTGTTAAGCACTTTGGTCAAGCGTGCATAAAACACTGACTGTTTCATACCAGTCTCATCGATACCGTTGTTTTGTGACATACCCAGGTATCGGTATGTTTCAGCCTCGGAAAGGGTCCTTAAGTTGACGGGCATAGATAAGTCTACGCCCTCAGAGTTAGCAACCCTTCCCCTTTCAACATGGAGGACCGCACACTTATCCGTCCCAAGCTCCATTCCAATGGAATTGCTAAATTCACAAGTGATGTTTAGCAATTCCATAAGATGGGAGCGACTGGAGGCGAATAACTTGAGGTCATCTATGTAGAAAAGGTGGGTCACTTTTGTCCCTCCTTTTCGTAGCTGAAATCCCCTCCCGGAGCCCTCCAGTAAGGTACTGAGAGGGTTCAGAGAGAGGCAGAACCAGATTGGACTCAAACAATCCCCCCTGAAAGATACACCTTCTTATCCTTATGTGGTTCTCCGCAGCCATCATCCGCTCGCCCAGATGACAAAGGATCGTAGCTCCACTGCCCCATACACTGCTCGAGGAAGTCTCTAACTGTACAGTCTATCTTGTACAGCTGGAGGACTCTCTTTAGCCATGTATGGGGCACCGAGTCGAATGCCTTTCTGTAGTCTATCCAGGCGGCGGAGAAGTTCCGACGGTTGCGTTTCACCACTTTGCCAATGACCGCGTCAATGAGGAGTGGTTCCTTGGTTCCACGACCACCGCCCCGACATCCATTTTGAGCGCGCGACATCACCTGATTTGAGTCCAGGTGACAAGTGATTCTCGCACTCAAAATGGATGTTAGTGTCTTGTATATGGTCGGTAGACACGTGATGGGGCGGTATTTGCTCGGGTCTGTGGCACCCTGATCTTTAGGAACCAAATGAGTGATCCCAGTAGTGAAGAGGCTTGGGAGCGACTTATGGTTGAGAGCCTCTTGAAACTGTCGGGCGAGCACAGAGTGACACACCATGAACCCCTTCAGCCAGTAGTGATGCAGCCCGTCAAGCCCCGGACTTTTCCAGTTCGGGGCCCTACGGACCGCCTCAGCTACGTCATCCGGCGTTATGATGACGGGGTCCATGGGCGTAATACCCGCACACTGACTCGCCACAACTTCCGTCCAAGGGCCCTCGCTGTGGTTTACGGGCTCTGACCACAGGCCGCGCCAGAATGCTACAGTGTCGGCCTGATTCGGTGCTGGACCCGTTCCACTTACCATTGGTCGCTCAAATGATTCATAGAGCCTCTTCTAATCACTCTAGAAGAGACGATTCTGGTTGAACCGTGTCGACCTCTCGGTATTTACCATAAAAAGAATTGAGTCCGTCTCGCAAAGGTCCCGGCTGGCTTCCAAATAGGTCACCAGCATTGGGTTCAGAGCCCTCACGACAGCCCGATTCCGCTTGCTTAGGGCTATGCGGGGAAGTCGCGGTCGATTTTCGAGAGGCGTACTGCGCGTTTTCACAATCGCCTCTTCCAATGTACTCCTCATATGCTCTAATTCCAGTTCCTGGGCGACTGTTCCACCACTATTATTATTATTATGGGGTATATATATAGTTTTCTCATCTTATTATTATTATTATTATTATGGGGTATCTATATAGTTTTCTCATCTGGTTGGGTTCCATAAATATATAATTATAAATGAAAATGAAAAGATAAATATACATAAATATCAATAACATAAAATAAATATAAAAGTACATAAATAAATAAAAGCCCAACCAGATGGAGGCCCTCGGCAGGGGAGACCAAACGGCCGAGGGTTAGGGGGAAAGGGAAAGAAACCGGCGGACGATGCGGGCGGTATCGAGGAGCACCGCCTTCTGCATTTGAGCCCGGAGCGGTCCGACACGTAGTCCCAGCCGCCTCAGATGACCCGAGAGGCTGACTGGGATTAGCCCGTTTGCAGAGACGACTACAGGAATAATTTCAGTCGGCAGACCACCCCACATGTCGGTCACCTCGTGAGCCAGGTCCAGATATTTTGTTTGCTTGTCTGTTTCGGCTTTCACGAGGTTCTCGTCATACGGAATGGTAATGTCGACCAAAAATATCCTTGACTGTGCCCGGTCCATCAGCACAATATCAGGCTTATTCTTTTTATTATTATTTTGGGGTATCTATATAGTTTTCTCATCTGGTTGGGTGCTATAAATATATAATTATAAATGAAAATGAAAAGACAAATATACATAAATATCAATAACATAAAATAAATATAAAAGTACATAAATAAATAAAAGCCCAACCAGATGGAGGCCCTCGGCAGGGGAGACCAAACGGCCGAGGGTTAGGGGGAAAGGGAAAGAAACCGGCGGACGATGCGGGCGGTATCGAGGAGCACCGCCTTCTGCATTTGAACCTGGAGCGGTCCGCCACGTAGTCCCAGCCGCCTCAGATGACCCGAGAGGCTGACTGGGATTAGCCCGTTTGCAGAGACGACTACAGGAATAATTTCGGTCGGCAGACCACCCCACATGTCGGTCACCTCGTGAGCCAGGTCCAGATATTTTGTTTGCTTGTCTGTTTCGGCTTTCACGAGGTTCTCGTCATACGGAATGGTAATGTCGACCAAAAATATCCTTGACTGTGCCCGGTCCATCAGCACAATATCAGGCTTATTCGCAAGAATAGTCCTGTCTGTGATGATGGCACGGTCCCAATAGAGCCTGGCGCGATCATTTTCGAGCACGGCATAACCACATCTCGGCTCTGACCACAGGCTGCGCCAGAATGCGACCATGTCGGCCTGATTTGGTGCAGGGCCCGTTCCACTTACTATTGGTCGCTCCAATGATTTATAGAGCCTCTTCTGATCACTCTGGAAGAGACAATTCTGGTTGAACCGTGTCGACCTCTCGGTATATCGCCGAATCCGCTTTCCCCAAGCAGCGATTCTCTGCTTCAGATCATCTATGCGCTCCGTCAGTTTTTGCGTTATATCCGGCTGGGACAAACTGACATTTGTCCCAGCAAACGCCATCCTGACGGTGCGCACAATTCTTGGCCTGTTGTTGCCTGATCTAAAGCATATCAGTCTGCCGATGAGAGCTCTAGCCTTTGCGATACGTTCCTCAATTCTTGTTCTCCATGCTGGGATAGCGCTACTATGGCCAGTAGCGCGTCCAGCCGTAGAAACCTTGGCGCCTATGATGCGGCAGACTGCCAGCGCGGCGCCAAAAAGAATTGAGTCCGTCTCGCAAAGGTCCCGGCTGGCTTCCAAATAGGTAACCAGCATTGGGTTCAGAGCCCTCACGACAGCCCGATTCCGCTTGCTTAGGGCTAAGCGGGGGAAGTCGCGGTCGATTTTCGAGAGTCGTACTGCGCGTTTACACAATCGAATATAACCACAATAAATAAAATTATTATTATTATTATTATTATTATATATTTATTTCAGTTTATACAAAGTACTCTGTGACGTGAACTAGCGAACTTCTAGCCCTCGGCCAGGGCAGTCGGCGACTGTCCGTTCCACGCCCCGCGCGCCTCTCAAGGCCCCCGCGCACATCTAGCCGCAAGCGATTTTACGTGCACACATGCTTAAGTGTCGTTTCTTTTCTATTTTCTTTGTGTATATTTTCTTTGGTACTGGGAAGTTGAATAATTTTATTTAAGTTTATTTCATTTAAAACAACATTATTTAAATCACTAAGTACTTACTTATGAAATGTTATCCCTTTATTTGAAAAGTTACAACTTGTGGAAGAATTTCCGCAATTGGATATTCTGCAAAACAGTTGGATTTTCGTCTTTGCGTCCGAAACAACACCGAAATAAACGCTCTTCGCGAACTTGTGGCCTACGAGTCACATGTGCGGCGACAAGATCACGCGCTTTTACGACTTCTATTTTTATTTATATTTATGTAATCATAAGCATCACAGTAATCCACAATCCACAGGTCATAGGCCTCCCTCAAGGATAGCACGATCCTGAGTCATTGGTAATTGTGTGACAATTTACAGACAATAAATAAAAGTGACAAACAAACTTACAGATCGTCTGATCGTAAGAGGCTACTGCAGCCCATGGTCACCTACAGCAAACTGTATACAAAGTTGGCTCACAGATGCTTTGTCACTTCTGAGAACTAAAATGACTAAGAAGTCTGACAGCCTGTAATAAATGTGGCTCAGGCCCGTATTATGTGGCATTTTTTTGGGAGGCCTTTGTTCAGCAGTGGACTACTGCACGGTTGTGATAATGATGAAATAGAATCAGTATCCTTATATTCCTATTATTTCATTCCATTACAGTCCAAAGCATAATATGTTTGGAGTTTTTATGCTTGAAATAACCCGTGATAGTGATTTTCATAGAAGAACTAAGCGATGAATGATGATTATCATATTTGAGTGTAAAGTATTAAAATTACATTCCGTTTTCTCTCTTTCAACTAATTTGGCGATATGCCATAGTCCCGTCACCTATAAAATGAACTTATGCACTAAATTGACTTTAAAACTGGACAGCAGCCAACAGATTTATTCGAATGTAGATTTATACGAGGTGAAATAAGGCAAATCCTTATCACGATACAAGTGACTGTATCTACTTCTAAAATCAGCGTTCTTATTTTAGAGCAGTTAGTGAATAGGGACCTAATTTGATTAAATCATTTTATTTTTTTAATATTGAGTTTTTTGTTTATCTTTGTGATTAAATAAAGTTTTTCTTTCTTTTTTTACTGAATAAGGTTTTTAATGGCCAGTACCGCATGTGTTACCAGGTCGTCACTCCATCTAGTGGGGGATGCCCAACACCTTGCCTGTCGGTACGAGGCTGCCAATAGAGGACCTTTTTCACCATCGGTTATCGGTTCTTCGAGCTATATAGAAAGAAAGAAAGAAAAAACATTTATTCACGGTCTAATCACAATAGATACAAAACAAAGCAAGAAATTGGAATTAAACAGAGAATAAAACAATATTTCCCTAAATTAACAAAAATGTAAAAATAATATAAAATGAGTCTGTGTAGCAGCATAAGACCGTGAAATGGACAGGAGTCAGTAAAAATCGAGATACAGAAACACGAATTGCTCTGATCCCGACACTGGTTTTCAGTCCGGCCCGCACTCCGATGTAACTCGGACGGCTGCCTCAATGAGCACATGCTATAATGCGACGCGGAATATATAAAAAAAATGTGTTTCTAAATTTTTATTCACATAAATAGTGGATATCATTAGTCTAATGAAGGTAAGTACAAAATAGAATTAACGTTTTCCTTCTAAATATATCATTTTTATTTATTAATAATGCGGAATAAACGTAGGCTAAAGAATAAAGGTAAGAAAATGATTCTCAGAAAAAGTAAATTTATTATATAAATATTTAAATAAAATAGTTTTATATATTGTATAAAGTGAAAATTAAAATATCTACATAATTTATGGGACTGAGATTACTGACGTGTTGAAAGAACTTAACCTCCTACCAATTTATTTTATAGATCGGTATTTTTTTGTTCCGAAAGTAAGTGTAACCTGTATTTGATTTTAAACCCACTAATTGTTTTCAGGTCACGCAGTGGAGACGAGAGGTTATTCCAACATTTAGTGGCATTATATTTAAAACTACTTCTGAAAGCGGCCGACCGGTAGAAAGGATATACTAACTTGTAATTGGATGATCTGGTATTATACTGCTTATTTTGATCTTTAGACCAAATCAACTTATTATATAAATATAAAGGTTCTTTATTTTTAATAACTCCAAACAAAAGTGAGGTAAAGTGTAGTCGCCTGCGACAGTCCATTTTTAAAATATATGTGCACGTGCATGCATGTGTGCATTCTGTACCCGCTGTATTATTTGCTGTGTTCGAGATAACAGTCGTGGGCCTATGAGAGGTGACACCTACGTAAGGTGACACTTAGGTACTCACGAATACGATAAAGTACTTCCAACCTATAAAAGCAGTTACGTGCAATATTCATTACATGTTTCTCAAAACGAAGTTTGTCGTCCATTATTACCCCCAAATTTCTGACTTCAGAGACTCTCACAATAGGTTCGTTGTTTACAGTAATGGCAGGGTGGCTTAGTGTGATCTTTTTTATTTGATTTGGCGATCCTAGAATAAGGTACTGCGACTTTTTTGGATTGAGAACCAATGCGTTACGCTCTGACCACAAAGATATCCGACCCAAATCCGAGTTCAATTTTGTCACTGCTACTTGAACATCACAAGGCTTAAACGATATATATATCTGTAAGTCGTCAGCGCACATGTGGTACTTACAATACTCTATATTTTTAATAATGTCTGCACTATATATTATAAAAATTAAGGGACCTAAAATGGATCCTTGCGGTACTCCTCGGTTCACAGGGCGCTCCCCAGAAATAGCTTTACCTTTTCCATTTAATTGTATTTAAACTTGCTGTGACCTATTTTTAAAGTAACTGGCAAACCATTGGGTCGCGTTTCTGCTTAAACCATAAAAATATAATTTTGAAAGAAGTAATGGGATATTGAGGGTTTCAAAGGCACGCGAGAAATCAAGTAATGTTAAAATAGTACCCTCACCACTGGCTTGTGCAGTCAGTATATATCATCCACGACCTCTATAAGCGCTGTGGTAGTGCTGTGCTTCTTTCTAAAGCCAGACTGCAGCTCAGGAAGGATGTTATTTGCTTCAAGGTACTTTGTTAGCTGATTACATGCAAGCTTTTCTATTATTTTAGAAAGGCACGGTAGGATACTAATTGGCCTGAGATCCGACATACAAACAGGGTTACTCGTTTTTGGTGTAGGTTTAACGATGGCTATCCCATTGCCACTTCAACTTACTAATCCGTTGGGCTATGTCAGTCACCCTGTTTCTACTGCGGATATCCTCATTCCTAAGTTTATCACGCAGACCTGACCTATGCTCACTGCGACCTTGAACTTTCTCATAAGGCCAGCAGTGAAAGACCACGTCTCAGATTCATAGGTCATCACTGGTAACACTCACTGGTTGTACTATCTAGTTTTGAGGTTTTGAAGTATGCCTGACGAAAAGATTTGTCGTAATCTCCCGAACGCTGCCCAGCCGAGTTGAATCCATCGATTGACCTCTCTGTCGAAGTTGAATTTACCTAGTCGGACTACTTGTCCCAGGTAAACATACTAGTCAACAACTTCGAGATTAGTGCTCCCAATAACCACCGGCATAGGTGTGACATGGACATTACACATGACTTTTGTTTGTCCATGTTCATCTTAAAACCTATCCATTGGGAGACACTATGGAGGTAATTGAGTAAATTGCTAAGACCCTCCAGCGATTCTGCCATAAAGACTATACCGTCGGCAAATCTAAGGTGAATAACGTACTCGCTATTGACTTATGACAACTTCTTCGCTATTGACGGCATATGAGCGATTTGAACATTAAACATGATCTTAGTTTTGTCCATCTTCATCTTAAGACCTATCCGTTGAGAGACACCATTGAGATCATTGAGCATAGTGCATAGGTCCTTCAGCGATTTTGCGATAAGGACTATATCGTCGGTAAATCAGAGGTGAGTGAGGTACTCGACATTGATGTTAATACCGTATCCTTTCTAGTCCAGTAGCTTGAAAACGTCTTCCAATGCAGCGGTGAAGAGTTTCGGGTATATTACATCACTCTGTCCTAAATCTCTCTGCAGTTGAATAGGTTTCGTACTTAGTTTGTATACTAAGAGCTATCGTAGCCCTACTGTACAAACACTTCAGTACTTCGATATACCGACAGTCAATTTAGCACCGCTAAGTGGACTGCAGAACCACTTAAATTTCGTCAAAGAAAATGTGGCAGATTGTACTCTTCGGACTTCTGTATAATTTGCAGGAGGGTATGTACCTGGCTTATGGCGCTAAAGCTTTTACGGAAACTGGCTTGTACGGGAGGCTGGAAGTCGTCGAGTGTTCTTGCGAGACGATTCGTAATGACTTTTGAAAACAGCACGTAAACGCGATTCTGTAGTTCTTCAAGAGAGCGTTGTCGCAAGTCCACCGCCTTTCTGCTCCATGCTTTCTGGCTAGTGCCACTATAGAAGACTGAATTGAAGAGCTTCTGAAGTAATTCAAATATCGATTTCCGCTTACAGAAGTTCCGCTGTAATCCCATCCTTGCCAGGAGACTTGCCATTTTTAAGGTGCTGGAGAGTCATTATCTCGCTCAAACTGACGTCCGGGATATCATCGGAAAAGTGTCGGATAAAACTTGCTCTTGCATCTCTACTCACACTTCCGTGT